CTCCATGATTAGTACATTTCAGTGAGGGGACTTTAAGAAGTTAAAATCCAAAACTTTTTTCCGGAAAAGCATGCCCCCTTGGCGCTCGTTCAGGAAATCGGTCAGTCCGACCTATTTCCGCGCCTGCATCCAATGATCTTTTTTTTATTAAACACACTTTGTGATGCTGTTTTTGTTTTGTCGACTTTAGTACCTGGCTTAAAGAATTCTGTCATTGTGGGAAATAATTCTGAATACTTGTCTAACTTGACCAACTGGATAAAACCTATTAAGAGTGACAGTGATTGGAAACTCTGCTGGAGAGCATCACGTGATGGCTGGAGTAGCAGTCGATTCCATTCCCTATGTGACGAGAAAGGACCAACAGTTACTATTGTAAAGGTCGGAAAGTATATCTTTGGAGGTTACACCAGTTTATCATGGAGTAAGTATTCTAGTCTTAGTTTGCGTGTTTAAAGTGTCCGGATTGTCGCATTTCAGTTGTACTATTTATTTGAAGTTTCATTTTTCTTTTTCCTAAAGTCATCATTTGTTCAAACTGGCACATGCATTTTTATTCGTTTTGGCCTTGGTCCAAGATGAACGATCAAAAATAGAAGTTTTATTAGTTGAAGGCATTCGAAACCCGATTCTCGAATGTAGGATCCTTGGGTAACGAATTAGGTTTAGATCGCGTTATTGTGGAAAGCCATCAAAGATTTTTGACCTGGCTGCATGCATTAACAAACAACAACGCGGTAAAATTAAAAACATCACTTCCAAGGATCGATAGGCCAGCTGGGAACGAAAATTTACCACCAGACATGCGTTTTCGATGGCTGAGACGGTGGACGCTTAAAATGGTGAATATGTGGACCCGGAGCTTTTGATGAGTTTATATTAACACGAAAACGCCGAAGGTTTTGGGAAACGCATTAGTGAACACGCTGGCCTTACAGAGACGATTTGTTGGATTCTTTCTATTCTTTATTTAGCTTCTAATTGCTTTGGCTATCAGTACGATCCACAAGCCTTTTTGTTCTCGCTGGTAAACAAGCCAGGATGGGCACCTGTAAAGTTGAATCAGACGGGATTGTATGGCTATCTCCAATCGCATTCCATATACACCTGTTACTTTTATGCTGTTAATGGTCCTACGTTTGGAAAAGGTCATGACTTGCGAGTCTCTGCATACAGGTATTATTTAAATCTCGGCTACACGTACAGTCCACCGAGCGGCTATAGCTATGGAAGCAGCTTTGCTCAGTCATTTCTGGCAGGATCTTCTCGATTCAATCCGGATGAAATCGAAACGTTTTATGACGTAGCCTTTACATCACAAGGTAGGTTCGAGGATGAGCTAGCGTCACTATATATTATACATAATTTTTTACGGGAATTTTAAAAACTGATAAGTAATCTAGCCTTTTTAAAAAGTTGCAGGGATTGATCAAAACACTAATTTCAACAACAAATTTTCAACGTATATCTTCTTCAGAACTTTTCATTTCATGTCAAAAACGCCTAAAAATTGGGTTACCGTTCTTGCTTGAGACGCGTAAAACCAACTAAAGGCCGTTAATACACCCTAGTAAATGTTTCTGGCCTCCGTCATGCCAGGCAAACACTAATTTCAACAACAAATTTCCAACGTATATCTTCTTCAGAACTTTTCATTTCATGTCAAAAACGCCTAAAAATTGGGTTACCGTTCTTGCTTGGGACGCGTAAAACCAACTAAAGGCCGTTAATACACCCTAGTAAATGTTTCTGGCCTCCGTCATGCCAGGCATTAAACCTCGCCAACCCTTGTGTGGAAGGGTCAAGGGACTGGCAAAATTTGTTCGCTGTACCGAGGTTTCGTTATACATCAAGGTTCTTTTGATATATTTTAGTATTAATGGGGTAAAGAAATTCGTTCGTTAGGCCAAGGACTTCGCTATATAGAGGTTCGCCGGTTATATCGAGGTTCCAATGTATACCCACATTTACTAATTGCAATCAGAGAGATGTCTAAAACAAATAGCGATAGACGACAACGGCTGACTTCACAGCTAACAGGTGACAGGTAGCTACGGTTGATCGAAAAAAGATGTCATAAATTCGTTGGAAAATTTCATGCCAGGCTCATGATATTCATAATGTAACGATTTTGAAATTCAAATCTTCTAGAAGAAAACATAAGCGCGCTGACTAGTTTAGGAGACAATTTAAAAACCTAAGGTACTGTCCACGCTATCTAAAAAACATCCACAACTTCAGCAAGAACAATCAGTCCAAGTTACACGGCTTCAACGACGGCGTCGCCAAGTTTATCGCCATTCCAAAAGAACTTTACCCTTTTATTTCTATACCTCTCATCGGTGAAACGGTTTTATTCAAAATATTTATGTAGTTCTCCATTCATTATTTTCGTATTTTTCTCTTGATGAGCCTCCATGACGTTTGTTATGTTTGTTTAGAGACCTGTGGAAAACCCAAAAAAGACACTCTGATATCACCCTTCTTTAATAATTAGCAAACGCTACAAGTATCTCTGTACATGCACCTTTTAAAGGCGGGCGTACAATCTTAAGCTATCTTACGTTGCAGTTTAAGGTGTTTCGATACAGTTTTTCTAAGAATGGCAAAGATTTTTCATCGTCTTAAAAGTGATTTTATTCTCAATTGTCCGAACACTATGAAATTATCACCACTGACTGATTTTGGATTGAAGTTTCATAAAATTTAGTTTGATAAATAAAATCGACATCACTATTACAAAAAGCAAACAATTAAAACGTTGAAATCGGTAAAAGCCTAATTTTGCGCGATCTAGACTAGTCCTGCTACTGAGGTCCCACATCAAGAACTTTTATTTGCTGTTTAGCAAACAACCTCCGTGAGAAGTAAAAAAATCTGTATAATTTTGGATTGGAACAAAACGTAAATCTAATTCAAACCTTATATTTTCAAAAGCCGTTATAAATTATGTAGTAAAAAAGTTCTGAATTACTCAAACTAATCTTAAATAGCGTCAGAATTTAATATCATATTTCAATGCTAGGATATTTTGGTGTATTTTCCAGATTTTCTTTTGCGAATTTGAAAACTAACCTTTTTTGTCACCACCTGTCTAAGTGCAACTTTATTGTTCTAAATTTTGACTTTTATTGCTTCTCTATATATTGAACGACTCGACAGAATCCTTTTTAAACCTCATCACAAAATCTTCACGTTGTATGTTATAATGTCTGAAACTTTCATGAACATTGATTCACCGCAATACCTTTAAATTTCAAGACGAACCTAACCTACAAACCGGTCAAAAATTCGCGTTACAACATTCACTGTTTTGACGTTATGCTAACGGTTTCCAAATTAATGCCCACCATACATACCTCCATGATTAGTACATTTCAGTGAGGGGACTTTAGGGAGATAAAATCCAAAAAATCTTCCGGAGGAGCATGCCCCCTTGGCGCTCGTTTAGGAAATCGGTCCAGTCAACCTAGATTCGCGCCTGCATCCAATGATCTTTTTTTAACAAATACATTTTTGTGGTGTCGTTTTTGTTTTGTCCGCTTTAGTAACTGGTTTAAATAATTCTGTCATTGTGGGAAATAATTCTGAATACTTGGCTAACTTGACCGATTGGATAAAACCCAGAAGAAGTGAAAATGATTGGAAACTCTGCTGGAGAGCATCACGGGATAACAACCAATTCCATTCCCTGTGAGACGAAAAAGGACCAACAATTACTATTGCAAAGGTTGGAGAGTATATCTTTGGGGGCTACACCAGTTTATCATGGAGAAGTCAGCTGGTAAGTATTCTAGTCTTAGTTTTCGTGTTAAAAAGTTTCTAGATTGTCATGTATACTGAACATTTTCAGTTGTATATGACCATTTATTTGAAGTTTCATTTTTTAACTTTATCCTAAAAATATCATTTGTTCGAACTGACACATCCATTTTTATACCTCTTGGCCTTGGTCCAAGTTGAACGATCAAAAATAGGAGTTTAATTGAAGGCATTCGAAACCATTCTCGAATGTACGGATCCTTGGGTAACGAAAGTTTATCGCGTTATTGTGAAAAGCCATAATCAAAGATTTTCGAAAACGCTGACGGCATATAACTGCCAGTTACCGTACATGACCTGGCTCCATGCATTACCAAACAACAATGCGGTAAAATTAAAAACATCACTTCCAAGGATAGGCCAGCTGTGAACGAAAATTTACCACCGGACATGCGCTTTCGATAGTTGCCTTGAGTGGACGCTTAAAATGAATGTGTGGACCGGCACGAGAGCTTTTGATGAGTTTATTTTAACACGAAAACGCCGAGGGTTTTGGGAAACGCATTTATTTTAGTGAACATGCTGGCCATACAGAGACGTTTTGTTGGATTCTTTCTATTCTTTGTTTAGGTTCTGATAGCGTTGGCAATCAGTACGATCCACAAGCCTTTTTGTTCTCACTGGTAAACAAGCCGGGATGGGCACCCGTAAAGTTCAATCAAACGTGAAAGTACAGCTATCACCGATCGCATTCCACGTACAGCTGTAACAATCTTGGTCCCATTTTTGGAGGAGTAGAAGAACATTATGATGACTTGAAACTGGACCGCGTTCGAGACAGTTCTTATTCAGATCTCGGCTACACGTACGGCCCACCAAGCGGCTACATCTATGCAAGCGACTCTGCCCGAACATTCCTGGCAGGATCGTATCGATTCAATCCGGACGAAATAGAAACGTTTTACGACGCAGCCTTTACATCACAAGGTAGGTTCGAGGATTAGCTAGAGTCACTATACATTGTATATAGTTTTCCAAGAATTTTAAAAAATAATAAGTAATCTAGCTAATTAATATAACCATTTTAAAAAGGTTGCAGGGATTAATAAAACACTAAGGAACGCTGGCGACAACAAGTTTTCAACGTATATCTTCTTCTGAACTTTTGCTTTCATGTTAAAAACGCCTAAATATAGGTTACCGTTCTTGCTTGGGGCGCGCCGTAAAATTTGTTCACTGTAACGAAGTTTCGTTATATATCAAGGTTCTTTTCCACATATTTTACTATTACTGGGGTAAGGCAATTCGTTCGTTATGCCAAGGACTTCGTTATATCGAGGTTCCCGCACTGTACCCACTTTTATCAATTGCAATCAGGGAGATGATTAAAACAACTATCAATAGATGAAAACGGCTGACTGTTCACGGCTGACAGGTGACAGGTAGCTACGGTTGATCTAAAAAACATGTCATAAATTCGTTAGAAAATTTCGAGCCAGGCTCATGATATTCATTGCAACGATACTGAATTTCAAATCTTCTGGAATGAAACATAAGAGCGCCATTAGTTGAGGAGACAAATATAAACTTCAACTACTGACCACGCTATCTAAAAAAATTCCACAGCTGCAAGAAGAAAAATCATTCCAAGTTACACGGCTTCAGCTAGTGCGTCACCAAGTTTATCGCCATCAGTGAGTGTCAGTGCATCGGTTTCACCAAGCACTTCACCGTCAGTCAGTTCAAGCGTGCCAATCCTTTCATCAGGTGAGTTTGAGGAGTTAGACACCTGCCCTTCTCTGGAAGTTCGTTCACCTTGAGCTACTAGATATTATTTTTATTAGCGTTGTTGCACATGAAGTAGAATAGTTCAGTGAAACGCTATTTTTAGTTGATAATGAGCGATCTGAGGTAACCAGTTGTTCAATTATGTTAAATATAACAGCACAAGATTGAGCAAGCTTTCCCTCAGACTTAAAGGTTGTGGGTGGAGGAGGAGGGGGGGGG